GTCGGAAGACCTTGACGCGAGTAGACCTTATATGATCCGCCGCGTAACCTGTACGAACACAGCAAATTGACTCGCAGCTCCGAAAACAGGAAAGCAGAAAGTCCAGAGGAGAGAGTACGGAAAAACCCGAAGGGACACAGGACGGAAGTCAAGTGTAACCTTATAGACCAGAAATCTCTGGAGGAAGAATTAGATTCATTTTATAAGTAAGGGCTTTCCCTTTGCGAGTGCTGTCGTATAATAAGCCCGGAGTAGGCTGCTATTGAATGTGCTCTTGTCGCAATTGAATCAGCCGTTGAGTAAATAGAAGCTGTGGCCCTTTTCCTTGTTAGTTTTGCCGCTACTTAACTATGAGTACGAGTTGGAGCTCTTAGGTTCATAACCGGTGCTATTGACTCTGATGTGGGACTTGAAGGAGGAGAAGTGGGATCTCGATAAATATGAGTATGCCTTTATCAATTCAATACGTAAAGCTAGCAACTACTTATTGAAATTCAATGGTTTGTTAGCCTTCCACCATTCCGTTTCTTCGCCGATAAAAACTGAGAAGATGAAGAGTAGGGGACACTGAAGACTTTAGCTGAGCAATCTAGGACTTACCAAGGATAGCGAACTAGTAAGTACGAAAGAGCTCACTAGATAGGAAGAACTAACTAGTACTTATATAAGTTTGAGGGGTGGTAAAAGAAAGAAGAGAAGAAGATTCGGCGGATTGGACTTCACTTGACTGAAGAATCAAAGATCAACCAGCTCTATCGATGAGACAGCAACTGCCCCGACGAGATGAAGGATCGATAACCACTCGACTAGATAGGCAAGCTGCTCCGAATCTTCCTTTTTTTTTAGGGTCGGTGAAAGTGTAAGCGAAAGGGATAGAGGCTGGCATGATATAAAAGAATGGATGTGAGGAAGATTCGATGTAATTGAAGCTCAGGCAAGATGGAGAAGTGGGAATGAGTAACCCGGGGTGGGTATGGGTCTTATGCCTGGAAGGCAGTCTTTCATAGGGCTTTCGAACGAAGTAGATAAGACTGTGTTTGCTTCTTATTATATAATCAGTAGTTGCAATCAGTTCTTTCCTCTATTGCCAATCCCCAGTCATTCATGAAGCTACTCGACAAAGTAGCTAGGCTTTCCTGGTAGGTATTTAAATACCCTACCTGTAGTCTAGTTGTAGTTTTGTTTTGAGCGGGTGAACCCATGTTCTATCTCGTAGTCACTTAAGCGGCATTACCTAGGAAGAAAAAGTGCGATCTTCTATCCCAAGGTCAATTATATCGAGCCTAGTAAATAAATACAGATGAGCCCGTGGGATGAGACTTGACTTCTGATCCTACTCTTCTAACAATAGTTGCGCTGGTTCTGCTTTCACATCTGGATGCCGAAAATCGTCTTTCTATCTACAAAGAGCAGGCATGTATGGGACTTTAGGATAAGGCTCTGCAAGACCTTTCTTTTAATATGCCTTTATGTATAACCGATCTTGGCAAAAATGCCTTTTTATAGAAGAGGCTGCGACGAGGCGATTCTCTCATCTGGAATCGTTTCCGAAGAATCTCTATAGAAAGAAGTCAAAGCTCATATTATATAACACAGGGGAGGTCCAAACATAAGAATAAATTAAAAACAAAGGTTTATCACTGTGATGTTCAACACGTTCAAAGGGCAACCGATGATACTTACCAGAAGTGAAGTAGAGAAGAGCAGAAAACAAGTCAAAGGATACTTGCCCTGAGACCCGAAGGCACTTCGATTCCCGTCTAAAAGTTAAGATTAAGAGTTCTTGCTTCTATTCATTCTCAAGCACTTGCAGCGGAAACTAAACTAATAGTTGACCAACCGCGGATACGCAAACAATAACCATGGCATGAGATGCATTTTCCTTAAACTAAAGCAAACCGAAGCTTCTGCCCCAAGGCACCAGCGCATTCCCTTCCTTCTTCTACTATTGATCTTGTCGGTCAGTATAGTATATCTGTCGTGGGGCATGATATTCCAGAATTTATCAAGCTGAGAAAGAAGTCGTCTTGGTATTGGATCCAACGAACTTTTCGAAGCACAGTGAAGTCATAAGTAGTGAACATGAATTAGATTCTATTCGCTTTCTTTATTCATGGCTGAACTTCGCTCCGCTTCGTTCGTTCCCCCCACCCGAACCATTTTTAAGACCCCCAAGCCCTCTCGAATGAGTTCTACTATAGAAACTTTCAACGTAGACCCTAATTTGACTTCACTTCGCTTCGCTTCGTTTGTAGGGACAAATCTTTCACTCACTGAGAAATGAAAACCTGTGACTAGATCGTCCTGAAGACGGATGCGACGGGAAGAAGTGGCATTTGGAAGTGTTGCTGACTTAACATTTAGGTTTCGGCATAAGAAAGCTTGCACTGTCTTTTCGCACTTAGGCGCACAGCGTGCCATTGGTAATGATTCTACTACGGTGCCACAAATTCGCAAGCTGATCCTAAGTAATCGTTGTTGTTCATTGGATTCCGGAGGAACTACTTCGTTAGGATTGGGGAATTGCTGCGATTCTTCCTGAATAGCCCGGATTCTCCCGTCGAGAGTCATTTTGAAAGTCTTTCCTAAACTCTTCCGACTGAATAGGATAAAGCCTATAAAACAACGAGCTACTATCATTTCTTCATTATAGATTGAGATCTT